CTACTTTTCTCCTCATAGGGCCCAGCCTCCCGGATAATCTGTTCTGCATATAGGTTGAAAAGGTATGGAGATAGGATGCATCCCTGGTGTACACCCTTCCCAATTTTGAACCATGTAGTGTTCCCTTGCTCTGTTCTGACGACTGCCTCCTGGTCCAAGTATAGGTTTTGCATTAGCATGAACAAGTAAATTAAATAAGTACATAATTTTGGAATTCAAAGACAGGGGCATTCGTGTGATTATCAATGACTATGGAAGGCTTCACTGAAGTGGGAACAAACTCCTCTAAAAGATTTAGCAACAGGAGAGGAAAAAGCAACACAGTTGGAAGACAAGGTGGCGGGATTTAACCATCCACCCAACTGTTCAGCAATGAGGAACCAGGCCTTGGGCAGAGAATGGGGATTCAGTCACAATTCACAGTCCTCACAGAGTTCCTAGTTCAGACATGGCTTTTGAGAAGTAGAAATTGGAGGAGTTTCCTAGCACTAAGGATGTGAAATTGGGCCAGCTGGGGGAGCTTCAGCTTGGAAGGGGAGAGATAGGCAAGCCATGAGCCCTAGTTCCTAGAACCAGCAGACAAAATTTTCAAGTGTAGTTTTCCCACCTGTATCTTGAGCACCTGCCACTAAGTTGTCAGGGGTAGCAAGAGTCGTGGTCTCTCCTTCAAAGACGTAAAGTTATAACCAAGAATGGGTATATTGAAAAGTGATGAAGCACAAGTGTAGGAAAATCACTCCTGAGCTGCCTTTCAGGAGAAGAGACATGATGCTTTACCACACATTGTAAGCCCCTTGTAGTTTGAATGTGGGCAAAGTCTCCAGCTGCATCTGGTTAGTAACAGTTCCCAGCCCCTCATTTCCTCAACAGCTTAATGAAACAATCTGCAGTGGCAGAAAGCTGTTGACTGGGCCTTTGCACAGAAAAGTCCCACTGACCAAGCGTACTTCCTCTCAGTTGTCATCCTTCCAGTGCCCACTGTAAACATCATTATCTTGTTGACACTTTCCTTATTCCTGGCTCCCCTCACATACACATACACATACACATACACATACACACTGCTATTTTTTCCGATTCCTAGCTGAGCCCTCTAGTGGGTTTCCAAGGCTGTAAACCACACAGGAGAAACAACTCATCCTTCTTCCAAGGGGCAGTTGATGGATTCAGACCTCCAGAGAAGAAGGTAGGGCTTAGTAGCACACCGTGCCCCCAGAGCTTCCTTTATTCTGACTTTAGACCTACACAACAGTGTAACTTTTGCCTACTTGTCTATCCCATTACTTTTAAAAGTATCTTAGGGGTAGAAAGCCTGACATACTTACTTCTGCATTTCTACAGAATTAAGATCATAGTAGGTACTCTGTGAGTTTTAAGGGGAATATGGACTACAGTGGTGGCAAATGGTTTTGAGAATGAGGTAGTACTGCAAATGGCTCTTGAAAGATTGTCAAGAGTTTGATAAGAAAAGCAGCATTCATATGGCAAAGAAGAAAAGCTTCCAAGCTAGGTATCCATTGGGTATAAGACTGGCCTGTATAGATTGGGAAGAGCTAGAAAGAGGGAGGGACCGGTTATTTATGGAACAGCTTCAATGGGCCAGAGCTATGCTAGAAACTTTAGAGATATTCTCTCAAGAAATCCTCCAAACAACCTTACTATTTTAATCTTCAGCTGAAAGGTTTTGTTACATTCTGAAAGTCACACAGGTAAGAAGTGAGAGAAAAGAAGGGAGCCCCAACCACAGTTTGGCTTCAAAATCCATGTTCTTTTCATTGCACTATGGTAAAGAAAAAGCTCTGAATTTATCAGATATCACAACTCTCCTTCATACAAATATAATCTGTTAATCCCTTTGCTATAAAAATTATAGAATCTTTCTAGTCCCTTCACTGAGCTCCGTGTGCCCTCTGCCCCACAATGCCAATTCTGAGCTCTTAAAGGACCTGGGCCACTAGAACTTCAAGAGCTAATTGTGAACCTGACACTAGGTAGCTCCCATCTCCCCTTGAAGGTCAGGTCCTCAGTGAAGGAAAAGTCTTCATCAATCTGTGCAATGACATCAAACCCTTGGAGGACCTGCCTCTGGTGCAGAAGGAAAGTCTGAATCATAGCTATCATGTAAACTGTGGCTGTCAAGTAAGACACTGTCCATTTTCAAGACCTTTTGGGTATGAGGGAAAGAGTCTTGAGTTTTGCAACAAGTCCTTCAAACATTCCTTCATTAATGCATGCATTCATGGGCCATGGTCTTGAGATCTGCCATATTAAGTTGTTGTTGTTGTCGACTGCCTTTGAGTTGAGCACAATTTATAGTGACCCTTAGCAACAAAAGGAAGCTCCTCTACAACTATTGACATTAATCAAATTCATAGTTCCCAGAGGCATATTATTTAGGAAGTGGATGCCATTCCTACTTCCAAACCTGTCACAATATGTTATTGTTTCTATGTGCCATTGAACCACCTGCAATGTACAGCAACCCTATGTACAGCAGCTCTGAACTCTTCCCTGTCCTGAGCCAGTCTCACTTATTCCAACACACCAAACTCCATTGCCCCAATTACTGTATCAATCCATCTCATGCAGGGTCTTCCTCTCCTGTGCTCTCCATCCACCCTTCCGAGCATGATATCCTTCTCCAAGGACTGATCTCTCCTGGCCAAGTGCCCAAAGTAAGTGAGGTAGAGCTTCAAAATCCTAGCCTCCAAGGAGAGACTTGGTTTCACCCTCTCCAAGACAGATTTACTTGTTTTCTTGGCAGTCCATGGTATGTTCAAGACTCTCCTCCAGCACTACAACTTGAAGGCATATATTCTTCTGTCATCTTTGGTCATTGTCCAACTCTGAAGCATATCAAATAATTGAGAAGACCATGGCTTGGATTAGGTGAACCTTTGTATCTAGACTGACATCGTTGCTCTTCAGCACCGGAGAGAGGTCCATGACAGCAGATTTTCCCAATGTAATTTGTCTTTTGATTTCCTGACTGCTGGTATTAAGAGCGTTGATTGTGGATCCAAGCAAGCTGTAACTGCTAAAAACCTCAATCTCTTCTCCATCTATTATGGTGCTGCCAACTGGCCCAGTTGTGAGAATTTTTGTCTTCTTGATGTTGAACTTCGATTCATATTGAAGACTACAGTCCTTGACCTTTTGCATCAAGTCCTTCAAGTCTTCTTCAGTTTCAGAAAGCAAGGTTATATCTGCATTTCATAGGTTGTTAATGAGTCTTCCTTCAATCTTGATGCCACACTCTTCCTCCTCCTAAAACCCTGCTTCCTGAATGATCTGTTCTCATACAGATTGATATGGTTCGGGGACAGGATGCATCCCTGACACACTCATGTTAAGTAGGGGATGGGAAAATATTGTCCCTGACCTTAAAGTACTTAGCATTTGGCTGGGCAGGTTACCATACAAGGTTATCAGACTGAGGTAATACAGATGTCATCTAAATACTGTTCACCACTTGCCAAACCTTATAATAACAACTTTCTAACAAGAAATTTAGTTTTCATAAGGAATTAAGAGTTCCATTTTAAAGTGAAGGAAGTAAAGCTATAGGTATTGAAGTGACTTGCTCAAGGTCAATGGAAGAGTAAGGACTCTGAGGTCTAATGACTCTGGAGATGCCATTAGAGAGGAAATATTTCATGTAGGAATACAGAAGAAAGATAAATCATCAGCAAGTTTGGGAACTTCATAAAGCAGACATGCTTCAAGAGGCAGAGATGATCTGAAAGGGACTATAAGATGAGGAGACTTGAAGACATACGTGCTGGAGAAGGAAGTGCCTTGTCTATGGAGAGCCCTCTTCTCACACTGCTGTCACTGACTATGAGTTCCAGACCACCTGCAATGCCCTGCACAATCTTGGCTCCCCACAAGTGCCCCTGGACATAGTGGCTACTGCAGGGGAGCTCGGTAGGTATTAGGTCCAGCACTGTCCGTGTGAAGCATGCTGATGGCACCTGTATTTGGTCCCAGAGCCACCTGCCTCTCAGGATGGAGTTTGTGGATATCATCCAGCCTTAAGGACCAGTGGTTGTTCACAACATTGCTGAGTGTTCTGAAGATCAAACTAATTCTTGTCTGCAGATCTATGACTATCACCATCCGCTTCATCCCTGTTAGAGAGTGAGTAGTTATCAAATGGCCAATTTTCCAGGACTAAGTCAATGGATAGGGGTAAGTTACATTTTGTATCCAAGACCCCAACCTGCCAAGAACTAGAGAAGTTCACATGACTTTTCTGCCCCATCCTCAACTCTTCCTCCTCCCCCCAGCCCCCGGACACCCATGAGTCTAGCTCGTGCCTTTTAATGAGTGTTTTCCCTTGATCTTGGCTCAGTTTATCTGCCAAAGCCAGTATTAAGCCCCTTTTTTTCCCTAAAAAAATGAGTTTTCGTTTGTATTTCAGAAAGTGGGGGACAGTGTCATTAACAAGCTGATTTTAGAGAAAATAATTACATACTCAATCCTCCTGCCTCAACCCATCCTGATCCTCAGAGACATTCTCATCTGTTTCGGGGAATAAGTAGGAGGCAGAGCCTAGAAATGGAGATATAGAAGGGTCAAATTCCCTCCTCATGTAAATGTCCTCTATGTTTTTCAGAGTATCCTCTACTGTTGTTGTTGTTATGTGCCATTGAGTCACCTGCAACTCATAGCAACCCTATGTACCACATCCCTAAACTCTGCTCTATTCTGTGCCATTTTTTAAAAATTATATTGAGTTGGTAGAATTCTTTTGCACATACATTTTGGGTGTCTGGTACAGTCAACGGAATGTCTCTCTTTGTATGTAGTTTCCATATCCTTTTATATGGTATAGGTTATGCCTACACAATCAGTCTCTTCTAAGTATGAAAAACGTTTGACATTGTTCTTCTAAGATCCTCACAACACCGCTGTGAGGTAGGTGGTATTGACCCCATTTTACAGATGGGGAAATCTAAGCACAGAAAAGTAAAGAAAGGTAAAGTGGCTCTTTGTGGGCCTCTGGTGGGACTGGGCGGTCGTGGGGGGAGGGGGGCAGTGGTGCCGCCTTCACATTCACACTTCATTGGTGCCACTGCAAAACTGAACGGCAAAGTTTCACACTGAGACCTGGTTCCGAACCCACTCCAAACCAAACAAGTTTTTCACCTCTTAAAGCTTAATAATGTGTGACTCATACAGCCAACTACTCTCTCTCCAAACTTGGGGGTCAAAATACTGACTTAAGTAGAGTTTCTTGCTCAATTTAAGATTTCTTTTCATGAGTTGGTGGGCTTGAACATTACTTGTACTCACTCAAACCCTTAGGGAAAAGAACAGTTTGAAAGGGCATTCATTAAGAACTACAGGATGTTGAGAACAGGATGTGGGACAACATAGATAAGAGATTTAAAGTGAAACACAATTTCCTAAGTGGTGGTCAAATGAGAAAATCCCAAACAAACAGAGTGGTATTTCTCATTTTTTTCAAGATACCCTACAACTTGTTGGCTGAAGATAAAGGACACATCTTCGACACACCTGTCGCTGATAACCAGTCCCCCTTGAAGCAGAAGATCCCGAATAGCCCAAGGGGATGGAGGGAGGGTGGGGCCTACTGTGGTAGGTCCCACTAATGTGTGACACAAAGCCACCCTGGGCCAGAGCATCTAGAGATGTCTATGCATACTTGCTGACAAGTGAAACTGGTTGCTGTGAACCTGAAAGGAGCCTCCTTGGAAGACGTATTCTTAGAACAAATAGATATGTAAATACAGTAAAATACATAATTAGCCAAAGCATCTTAGAAGGAAATATCTTGAAAAGTGAATAGGTGCTCATGCATTTGAGGACTGAAATAAACTGGTTCAAAACTGTTCTGTGTTGGGATTTCCTGTTAAATGGAAGGGGTTAAACACATCTCTAACGCTAATAAGCTGGGTGCACACTTTCTGCCACAGAAGCATGGCTGACAGCAGTGGCTCATCTCTCCCGAGGAGTCTCTGTCTTCATATGGACACGTTCTCCTGGGAGCAGTGAAGGGTTGCTGTATTGCTGTTGTCTGCACCTTGCTGGCCTCTCATAATCTGTGTGACCTCGACCCAGCATCAAAGTGAATCACTTCGTGGATCCTCTGGTCCTAAGGCCCTCTGACCATTTGGTCTGGTGTGACATTCCAGAAGAATTACATATAAAATGATTAAGGAAGTTCCTGGAGGGGGACCGGCCTTGGCCCCTAAGAGCTCCACCTTGATGCCTTTGATGAAAGGCAGGCATGTGGGCACCCTCTCCTTGTAATCCAGGTACTCTTCTTTGAAAAAGTGGATCAGGGGGATCTCTTCCTCTTCGGTTTGGTATCCGAAAAACCTCCAGACAGTCATGGCATAGGCCACCGTGCAGATCGGGTTACAGAGTATTCCAATACTCCAGTAGAACCAGCCAGGGTAAGAAGGGTGCAGGGTGCCGGAACCAGGCATACACCCCGTTTGTCAGCAGAGTGCGGGTGTCTGACTTCCCATTCTGCACCACGTGGTTGAAGCTGGAGCCCACTGTAAACATCTCCGCTTTCCTCAGGCACTCCCCCAAAACGACCATCAGCAGCCCTGTGGAGCTCTGCCAGGTGATCTGCTTCAGCTCTGGCCAGAAGATATTTTAAAGTGTGAACTCAGTGCAAGAAGAAAGGGCTGCTACAATGTGCCCCAGACCGGTTCAGGGGAAAAGAGTCCAAGGACAGACTTTTGGGATTGTTGACCACCATCACTAAGTATTTGGAATGGTGGACTAACGACAAGGAGCACATGTATTAGCCAATGTGATTCCAAGAAGACTGGCTAAAAGTTAGCAGCATGCCACAGCCAAAGACAAAACCAAGGAAACATGCTTAAATGGCTAGAGCGGCGGCCGGTAGGGAAGCAGTAGCAGCCTGTTAAGCTCAGCTATGTAGAGCGCCAGCCCGGTGAGGCCCTGTAGGCTGGTGCGCCTGAGCAGCGGCAGCGCAATCACCAAGGCTCCCAGCAGAAAGGTGGCGAGGCTGAGGCGTGCCTCCGAGCCCGCGGAAACCGTACCATGCAGCCCGCCATGGTGCAGGGCAAGGTACAAGCAGTCAACAAGGGCAGCGGCTGTAGCTCAAGGAAACCTGCAGGCCATGCCTGCGCTATCCTGTGCCAATCTTATTGTCTCTAACACACCTATCCCCATTACCTCAGTCACTGAATCAATTAATCTCATTGAGGGTCTTCCTCTCCTGCGCTGTCCCTCCACCCTCCCAAGCATGACTTCCCTCTCCCAGGAGTGGTCCCTCCTTGCAACATGTCCAAAGAATGTCAAACGGAGCTTCAGAATCCTTGACTCTGAGGAGCAGCCTGGCTTCACCCTCTCCAGGACAAATCTGTTTGTTCTCTTAGCAGTCCATGGTATATTTAATACTCTTTTCCAACATCAAGCTCAAAGGCATCAATTCTCCTTCTATCATCCCTAGTCATTGTCCAGCTCTGTGATGCATAGTAAGTGATTGAAAAGACCATGGCCTATATCAGGCACACCTTCATCCCTAGGAATAAGGCCCCAGGAATAGATGGAATACCAACTGACATATTTCAACTAACAGATGCTGCCCTGGATGTGCTCACCAAGTTATGCCAAGAAATCTGGAGGACAACCACTTGGCCAACTGACAGGAAGAGATCTATATTTGTTCCTATTCCAAAGAAAGGTGACCCAATAGAGTGTGGAAACTATAGAACAATATCATTGATTTCACGTGCAAGCAAGATTCTGCTTAAGATTATCCAAAAATGACTGGAACAGCACATCCTCTACTGGATTACTAATATCTTTGTTCTGACTTCAGAATTCTTTTTTTATCCCAAAACATTTTTTTCTTTAAAGAATTTAAATCCCCCACCACCTTGTAACTTTTCATCATCCCAGAAACAGCTTATGAAATTTTCTCAAGGGAAAATCCTGGATATGGGATGTTGTTATTGTTGTTGTTGTTGTTGATTGCCATCAAGTTGAGGTCAACTCATAGCGACTTTATGAACAAAGATCTAATGCCTTTTCATAGTTATCGTTGTTTCTCCAAGTTCATTGTTTCCAGAGGCACGTGGTTTAGAAAGTGGATGCCACTCCTGCTTCCCAACCTGTTTTACAACTGGGAGCTCCACCAAACACTGTCCACAATGGGAAACCATTATGGTATTTAATATCCCCATGGCACAAGGTTCAGCATCATAGCAAACCCAGGTTATCTCATACAGCACATTGACGAAGAGTGATGTGCAAAGTGGAAGAATGTTCCTCCAGATAAAATAGCACTAGTCTCATTTAGCAGTGGCTATGAGCTACCCACCTATGACTTACAAAGTAAGGCCTGGTGCTTGTGGAAACACCCCAGTCCCAATCATGCGAGCCACACCCATCACAGGATGTGACAGGCCAGCAGTGGTCAGTCATAGGGTCCTTTTGCAGTGCCAGCAGTCTGGGGCCAACTGGACATTAGTAGACACATTGATCATGTAGCTCATGCCCCAGGTGTGCACCTGAGGGTCCAAGGGCTCCAGGAATCTTCACGTGATCACGTGATTTTCTTCCGTTTCCATGTGTTTTCTTTAACTTTTTTTTAAAAAAATCTTTATCTAGATTTGGCAGAAAATTTTTCAGAATAGCAAACTGATTGCTGGAAAAGTCTTTTCCTTCCTAATTTGGAAGGTTTTGCCCATGGCCCTCAGGCATCCCCAAGGATGACCGAAAATCCCATGTCATTATCTTGGGTTTTGGTAGACACATATTTTCTCATTGAAGCTAGCAGGATTTAAATTTGGTTCCTAAGTTCCTCAAAGACATACCCTAGATCTTCATTTTGTTTATATTTAGTATTGACAAGCTCGAATGAAGCTTTACCCTTTTTTCTGCTTTTGATTGATCTTTAAAGAGCAAGTACATTAGCGAAGTTTGCTCTTAGTTTTAACTTTCAGGTAAGTATTATTTAGAAAACAGGAATGTTGTGTCAAATGTGAGAATAATTACCCATGGTGCACAGTATTTGGTGGAGCTCCCCGATTAAAATAAGCTTGGAAGCAAGAGTGGCATCCACTTCTGAAATAGCTTGCTTCCAGAAACCCTATGAACCTGGAGAAAGGACAAAAATTATACAAGTGTCCAGGTCTTTCGTTCATAGGGTCACTATGAGTCACCTATGACTCAATGACACTTAACAACAAGTGTTGTCAAGTTGAATATAACTCAGAGTAAGCCTTGCACAAAGGACCTGAAATTTGTTCTATAATTAACATAATTTCTGTACATAAATAAGAGAGTTTGTAAAGTTTCCAGAGGCATCTGGTTTAGGAAGTGGATGCCACTCCTGCTTCCCAACATGAATCAGTCTGGAAGCTCATCTAACCATTCTACATAATGGGAATCATTATGGTATTTGACACGGCTATGGAATAGTGTTCAGCATAACAGCAACTCCAAGTTGTTCGGTACAGCAAATAGACAAACGACTGCTGTGTCATATAAAGAATATTCATTCGAAAATTAATAAATTTGGCCTGAGGGCTGCAGCCCCAAGGACCCTATAGGATTTTAAAGTCACACCCACAAGCGGCCTCCACTTTTACTCTTCATCTAAGGCTGGAGGCCACCCACTTTTTGAGAGAGAAAAAGAACAATAACACATAATAAAACAGACCCCAGAAATTTCCCTTGCCTGATTGCCACCAAGACAAGACTGCCACTGAGACATCAGCCAGCCAGCCATAAGGACATTTTTAGGGGCAAACAATTGCAAATGATTAAAATTGTCATTGTTTTCCAATGGTCAGCACTGTACATGTGTCACAGCAGGTAAAAGGCCAGCTTTGGTCTTCTGGAGACACCTCTCTACCCCATCCTGAGCACTCCTTTACCACCATGTCCTGGATTCCCTGAGTGATCTAGGCAGAGGCCCCTGAAGCTGTTCCAGGGTGTCTGAAAAGCCCTGTTGGCCTCAGAGGTTTGTAAGTACAGGGACTTAAAAGTCTACTTTTTCCTTGGGGAAGCTATGGCAAAGATGAAGGAAACAGTCTGTCAAAGGCCAAGGTTGTTACATCATCTTCTCTGAGTGGTTTGCTGATAAGCAGAGACATACACAATGTGGCAGAAGACTCTGGATTCACACACACTGTACAAGTGGAAATTTTCTTGGAGAAGGGAGTTCGAGGCAAACAAATATGATCACACACATGAGCATGAATAATCATGAAGCACGCACACTTGGAAGAGAACCTCCACTGGTGAATTAAATAAGACCACAGCCTGACCACAAAGGCCTAGTGCAGTGGGTGTGAGGAGTCTGCAGAAGAAGGGATTCCGAGTTCCAGGTTGTCAGAGGAAAAACATTAACAGCAGCTTCTTTATCAGCCAATCATCTCAAGTCTTACCACAATCTGGAAGAAGCCAAGGAATGGAAGAGTCTGGGAAATAGTAGCAGGAACAATATCTTACACAGGGGAAATGCTGCATATTTTCCAGGAGGTTAATTCTTAAATGTATCTCATTTAATACAATATTAAGTATCAAAGCAAGGGAATAATTATGTTATGCCAACTTGACTCTCCTCTCAGGAAGCTGGAACATGTTGAGAGAATGTAACTTATTCAGTGGCAAGGGCAGAGCGATGGCTAGAACCCCAAACAGTGTTTGCTTACTTTCTCTGCTTGATAAACTTCTCTGTTTTCTGCTCTTTCTATCCTATCTCCAGATATGAAGACAAACTAAAATCCAGCCACTCCAGCCTTAAAAAAGAACTCCACAGTCCAACCACAAAGGAATCTTTGGGGTTGACATGCTGCGGCTGTGACTAGAATCCATTGTCACTGTGTGGCTAAGCTCAGAAAGGAAACATCAGAGAGGCCAAACCCTCCACCCCGCTCAGCCACCTACCATTTCTTTGTGGTTGGGATAGTATGTCTGCTCAATGAGGGGGAACTTTTCTCCTCCCAGGGACTTATAGATGGCCACCATCTGGGCAAACTGAAAAAAGAAAAGCAAATGTTTACGATTATAACAACTTTGGGAACATGTAGGCAAAATATTAATTCACACACAGAAAAATTATTGAGTATTTGCTCTGTTGAGAACTTTGTGCTAAGTATTTAGAAGATATAAAACATAGTACAGTTTTTATCCTCAATGAATATGGTTCTTATCCTGAAGGAACATACTGTTCAGTTGGGGAAAGGAGAAAGATAACATAAATTGAGTATTTGCCCAATTTTAATAGTATTTATTTAGTGTTCATAGAGTTTTCAAAGGCCTGTTATTTAGGAAGTAGATGACCCACCCTGCTTCCCAGTCAGTCTTAATCAGGGAGCTCCAGCACAATATGTCCATGATGAGAAACCCTTATGTCATTTGACACACTAGTTGGCACAGATTTTAGTATCACAGAAACCCCAATTTATCTCAGTACAGCAAACTGATAGACAGGTGCTGCACCACTTAGACCAATGCTCTCTCCAAACACAATTAATACAAGGCCCAATGGCCAAACCAACTTTAAAATACAAAGGCCTGTCCACCAGATCCTGTTTGCCTAAACAAGAAGCTTCCCACTCACAAATGATTGTAAACAAAATCAGAAACAGCCAATCAGCTTACACTTGATTGCTAACATAATCAGATATGTCCAGTTTACACCCAGCTTTAAAGTAAATTAGAAAAAATGGGAAGGGTGGAGGGTCGGCAAAGGAGAGGAAGACCCTCACCCAGGTGAACTGACATGGTGACAGCTGCAATGGGCTCTTGTGTGTCAGGAAGTGTCAAGCTGGCACAGGATAGAACAAGCTTCAGATCTTTTGATTACAGGGTGCTTGACTTGATGGCACCTAACAACAACAACAGTATTTGCCTCAATCCTCCCATCAAATTTGTGAACTAGGTGCTCTATTATTAGTTTACATATGAAGCTTAGAGAGAGTAAGTAACGTGTCTAAAGTCACAGTATTTCAAAGAAGTGAAGCTGGGGTTGAAACTTGGGATGTTTTTCAACCCAAGAGATGATGGCAAGAGATGAACTCAGATAGGTATCGTGGGGTCAAATAATGGAAATTCAAATGCTAAGTAAATGAACCAACTTTTCCTATATACAATATACAATCCTCAGTCTGAGCTGCAATGTCATGACTGGAGTTGTTTTTCAAGAGGAGTTAGATGATTTTTGAACCAAAATCTAAACCCACTGCTGTTGCGTGAGGACTTTCATATGGGTTTTCAGAGGCTGTAAATTACAAAGGAGGAGATGACTCATCTTTCTCCCATGGAACAGCTGGTGGATTCAAACAGCCAGAGAGATGCCACCTTTAATTTAGCAATGCAACTCCCTAAGGACTACCCCACCAGAGTTCCTTGTGAGATACACAAACTCATTATTTCTGGGATTTACTGGCAATCTAAAGATTAAACTTGCTGTACCTTCTCCTATGAGAAACTAAAACATAGTGAATGAAGTGGTAACGTGCTCGTACTTAATAGTGTGGCTTAAAGGTCTTTGGCAATAGTTAGGTCCCTTCCATGCTATAAGGAAGGGAACTGACACACAATGGTCATTTCTCCAAGATCACACAGAGGTTGAGCCAGATCCAGTCTCAGTCCTTAACTGTCTACTTCTTCAAGCAGCTTCATTTCAGGTTTTTGTAGACACCATGTTCTTCCTGTGGGTAACACACAGGCTTGCTTCCCATCCATTAGCACACCACCCAAACACCATCCCTGTTGCCCTAGCAGCTGAGGTCATCCAGTGTCTTCTCTCTAGATCCACTGGATTAGTTCACACTCCAAGCCACTTAAGGCTGAAAGTGCTCTGAGGAAATAATGCCAGATCAAACCCACTTCTAATTACCAGAGAAAGGAAAACTAGAACTAAGTTTTTCCAAAGCTAATTATCTTTTAAGGGATGTTGGCACATAAGCCAATGAAGATGGGGTGGGATGGAGCAGTGAAAGTACAGAATTGAATTGCTAGTAAACTGTAGTCTCATTCTTGTTCTGCCTCTAACTTGCTTGGTGTCCTTGACAAAGTCTCCTCTCCATATCTCATTTTCTTCATATATAAAGTAAGAATGTTGAATTTTATCTGTTCTTCAAAACATTCTTTTGTTGTACTTGCTCTCAAACACTATTATCTGGCAGCATTTTAAGTGATAACCTATTGTGGGGTTTTTGTGGGTAGATATATGATTTCTGAAGCACAAAGAAGCACTAGAAGTCTTGGGTCACTCCTATTACTGACACACAGCTGGTGATTCTAAATCACTGAGACCTTGTCTAGGACTAAAAGTATGAGACTCCCAAGCCCCCAAATGATATTGTTGAAAGAGACTTTGGAGGCTCTAGATCAGCCTCTTCATTTTACAGATGATGCAGCTGAAGTCAGAGACACAGGGAAGGAGCAGACAGACAGATCATACCTGAAGTTGGGCTGGCTGGGAAAGCACCCTGTCTCTTTTCTTCTTCTTCTTTTTTTTTAAAAAATATTTTACATTAGTTTGCTTGCAAAGTTTGTATACATTGTGTCTCATACTATTCTTCATTCACATTGTGTTTCACACAATAATTCTCATTATGCTTTATAAAATTAATCACCACTGGACTATGCCCACCATTACCCTGTCTTTTCAGGTCCCCCCTCGCAAGATACTTCCTTTACACCCTCCCTTCAACCATCAAATTAGGCAAGCCTGTAATTTTGCCCCACCCATCCTCACCCCTCTGCTCTCATCCTTTCCCCCCTTGGGTCCCCATTCATGTTTTACTAGTTATCCTTCACTGTACTCCGCTCTCATACCACTTTGGTTCCTCAGCTTGCTTTGACTCTCAAGAACTTCCCCTCAATCTTTCTTGCCTTCTTGGAGTCTCTATACCACCTAACTTGGCCTTTAAATCTGGCCTGCCCACCTTAGCATGGCAAGACTCTGCCTCTGGACAAGAGCCTGAGTTCTCAGGGATCTCTGGCATTCTGAGTGTTGGTTGCTGAACCACCTCTGTCCTACTGCAGCCCACGTGCTGGCATGCCACCAAGTCATGTGGAGCCTATCTTCCCAGCATGTGGGAGAGTTACACAGATGCCCCATGGGTGCACAGAGGTCCCATGGCTCACTCACAGGGCTTTGGGGCAGCCAAGACCAAAACTGCAGCCAGTCCCCAGGTACAGGTGGAGTTCCTGGGAGTTCATCCCACTCCCTTACACTGTGTCTCTAGTTGTCTCTGGTAAAGGAAATACACTTAGTATCTAATCCCTTTCTCCCTAAAAATGTAAAGTTTAAGTTAGAGGCACACAGTCACTGGTTAAATAAATATCTCATAAGGGCTAATTCCTTCATAAGAAAACAGATGAGTGGATCTGGGGGTTGGGAGGGGTGGTGCTGGTGGTAATAACAATGAGGAGGAATATGGGTTCAGTACAGTAACTTATCAAATGTATAAGAGTTTTTTTTAAGAGAAAAGCTTTCCATATCAGTTTGGATACTACACTGTCTTTAGCCCATCTGGAAATAAATGTTTTCATTCAACCCTGGTGCACCTGTCTTCAAAAGACCCATAAGGGAGAGGATGGAAGCAGAGAGGTGAGGATGGGTAGGGGCTGGGGTAGGGTGTTAAACATAGGGTTGCACAGTTAGATGGGGAGTGTGTGTGATGGAAATAGAAAGGATCTTTTGTGAAAAACAATGTATTCAAACTTTGTAAATAAATCAGTATTATTTTTTTTTAAAAGACCCATAAAGACTGACAAGGTTTCAGATACATTTGTACTAAAACGGATGGTGGTATTCTTGCTTCTACTGGCAGATCCACTTTGGCTTCTGAAACTCCTGTGTGCAGTGGTTAATCTCAAAGACACAGTGACTCAAAGGCAGAGCCTTTTCAGATGCAGTTGAGGCCTTTCTCCACACCATTTGCAGCCACAGTGAAGACATTAAGACAAAGATAGATCTCAGAGAGATCCTCCATTCACAATCTTGGTATGTATGTGTCCATGCCCATTCACAAGTAGAAAACAATATGTAAAAGGTCAGCTTTTTGATGAAACTGAAGGAGAACCTGCAGTATGGCCAGAGAGCTCTCCTGTTCTCGTGCAGTGCTTAAGGCAAATATGGTCAGAACGGACACAGGCCTGAGCAGAAGTCTCTCCATCTTCTGTTCTGGCCTATGGTATAGGTTAGGAACAGAAAGAAGAAAACTTGGCAAGATCCCAAATACTAGGGGCCAGTCTGGTTGTTATACAGTCCTCTAGCAGAGGCCACTCTGTAGCAAAGGTCACCCCACCTAACACATGTAATGACATGCATTGTGTCCTATGCCAAATCCCAGCTGAAGTGCTTCTCAGACCCTCAGTTGCTGCCTACTGCACCTGCATCCTACTGCATTATCCAGAAGAGAAGGAGACCTAGGGTCTGGGTCTCATCCTTTCACCTGGGGGAAGAGGCATTCACTCACCACCCATGGCTTGTCACAGAAGTTGTAAATGGACTCCAATGAGTTGATGCTGGGAAGACCTGCATACTGCATGCCAATGATGAGGTGGCGGAAGTCTTCATTCTCTGCCATGCCAAATGCGTGCTGCCGAATAAGCACAAAGTCTGGCCGAAAGGACCTGGTAAGAAGGTAGAGAGGCATACTTGCTATTAACAAGCACCCCAGAACAATCATCTTGTCTTCCATTCTACAGTTCAACACAAAGAAAGGGTCTTAGAGACCACCTACTCCATACCCCTCCTTTTATTATTATTGTTATTGTTATTCCTTTATGGGTGTATGGCTGGTTGGCACTGTCCCAGAGAGATGTGAAGAACAGATTTTTAAATTCTTCCATTCCTCTGGTTTAAGCAGTGCATTTTTCTAGGTACAAATGCTCTCAAGAGTACTTTTAGACTTCACATCTAAAGTGAAAAGGAATGTTCTGTCTTCATGGTGTATTAAGAGACCTTGAAGCTCCTTGTGGCTCAGGGTGGGTAATCAAAGCAGGTTTCAGAAGACTTGGAAGCCAAAGACTGATGTCACCACACCACCACGAGGAGATTCTTGACCTTAGTGTCCTACTCCGAGTCTTTAACACTTCTCCTTAAATAGCAAATGCCCTCAACAGGCCGCTAGTAGAACAAGGGCCAGGCTGGCTGAGGACAGATGCCAAACTTTCCAGTGTTATTCTTACAAAGCAGACGCTAGGGAGGGGTACAGATATTTTTTGCAGAAATGAGGTTGAGCAATGGCTACAGGAAGTGCTAAGAGTACAGAATGTTCCCATGCATGGGAAAGCTCCTGGATTCTCCCCCTTGCCACATAGCTCCCCAAAGCTGCTCCAAAGGACCAGGGCTCCTGTCTTCTTGTCTTTATTTCAGTGGACTCTCACCCTCTCAAAGAGGCAATTCTCTGGCAGCATCCACCCTCAGAGTGCTAGGGTTTCATGGTTTCACTCCTTATGTCCAGGCACCCATTCAACCTCACCCACCTACAGTCATAGCAACACTTTAGGCTATGTCAGCCTTTGAGAATGAGGGTGAAAAGGCCCCTGTCAGTAGCTCAGGGAACTTAGCGGCAGTCAGCATAGTGTCAGCTGTAGCTTCTCTGAACTCTGTGGGCCCTGAATCCCTGAGAGCAAACCCCCATCTCATGTCCAAGTTAAGAATTTGAACCATAGGCTGTGGTCAACTCCTGAGCACCTTAGCTGATACTTGGAAAGGTCTGCCTAATTTCTGCTGGATTCTTCTGGGAGCCTCGCTACTGGACCTTTATGTCACCACCTGCTTATGTGCCTGCAGGTCCATGACTCACTCTACCTAAAGATGAAAGCCTGTCCATTTTCTCTCATGAGACTTCGCTGTTCTCACTCCTAACCTGGAGGGACATCTTTTTCTCTCCTCTGCACATGATGGATAAGCTCAGATTTCTCATTGTTAGATCCCAAACACCCACAACTTTGTCATTACTGCCACTAATCTATTTCTTGTTAGACCCTGGAGGCCTAGAAGCACTGCAAATTGAGGTGGGGACAGGGTGAGGTGGGAAAGTTTCCTCCTGGAGCTAGATAATGATGCCTGGACTCCTGAAGCCATGCTAAGGCCCTGAGAAGAATTACAATGTGGAAAGCACTCCCTTTCATCTGGATTCTCACCATCTCCCTCACAAAATGTCAGCATTACATTTGGTCATGACTATGAACTTAGCACAATGTCACACATATAAGTAGCTAGTAGTGGCTACTTCTACTTCATCCACAATGGTCCTTCCAACTCTGGGCTTTGCCATTAGACATAGGCATTCCTGAGGATTCTCTGTGTGACATGGAAAAAACAGGGCTGGCAGTCAGGAGAGCATGCATGGACTACAGGGCTCGGCTATAAACTCACTGGCTGAGTCTCAATACATCAACTGTAAAGTGGGGGTGAGCTAGGACAGAGGTTACTAAACTCTTTATTTTTAAAGCAATGGAAGCCTGTTTTCAAGGGGAAATTTACACAAAGATAAAGACATAGAGCTACACTGAGTGGGTGCAGGGGTCCCAGCACTCCTCCAACAGGGACTCTATGAGAGCCTGGAGACTGCTCTCCCTGTCAGGTCCTCCTGAGGGGAAGTGCTAGTTTGCTCTACCCTCCTCTACCAATGCTATCCTGTGTCCCATCCATAGTGCCATCATACCATCCCAATATCTGGCTTTGGAAGTGCCTCCTCAAGCCAGAAAAGGGCACTCAAAAGAAAGGGGCAGCAGATATATGTACACCTATGTTTATTGTGGCTTTGTTCACAATAGCAAAAAGCTGGAAACAACCTAAGTGCCCATCAAGAAACAAATGGATATAGAAGCTCTGGTATATCCACACAATGGAATACTATGCAGCATTGAAAAACAGGAACTCATGAAATATTACGCAAAATGGATGACCCTGGAGGACACTATGCTGAATGAAATATCTCAGTCACAAAAGGACAAACATTGCATAGGGCTACTGTTGTAAAATGGGACCGACACCAGGATTGAGGGAAGACAGAAAAGGAGGGGAGAAATGACATATATTGCATTAAAACAGATGAGAGAGAGAACTGTTTAAAAGGAACATATGAATGGGTATCTTGTCATTACGGAAGACCAGAGTGAAGGCTACATAATGGAGTGGACTTGAGGGGGAAGGATTACAGAACAATGAAAGAGTTTTTCTTTTTCTTTTCAAGGAGAAGAGTGAATTGGCGGAGGAGATGGGTAGGGTGAAAAGTGAAACAATGAATAAGTGGAAACCCTAAGTCTCTGTAAACTTTCATGAAAATTATTTTTTTTAAAAAAAGGTGAAAAAAAAAAAAGGCAGGGGCAGTGGCCTGGAAGACAGAGAGACTTACCGGACCACCTTGGTGCCACCTCGGAGTACCTGCATGTCCACAGCATAGGCCCCATCTGCATGTGCCACCAGGTTGAGCTCAGAAAACTCCGCCTGTAAAGTAACAGGAGGAGTATAAGTCCATAGTCCTGACTTTGCCAAGGGCTTCACAGAATAGCAGCAGCCTCCTCATCACGAAACATTTATTTCCTTTTCATATGTGTTGTTCTATTTCTTACAGCAATTCTGTGAGGCTAGTGAGCAGAAATAATTATCCCCGCTCAAGAAAAGAGAAAAACAGAACACAGAGCAGTTAAATTACTTTTTTAGATAGGCAACACACATCCCTGACAGAGTCAGGTTATCTGACTTATACTCAATGGACTTTGTGCTATAGAGTTAAGGAACAGAATTTTAGTTCTGTCCCCAACTGGCTGCATAATATGATATGCAATGTACTTGTTCTCTCTGGATCTCAGCTTCCTCGACCTATAAAATGGAAATTTTTCTTATCAACTTTATCAAGTTAAGAACTGAATAGGACATGTATAGGAGAGTACTTTGTAAATCCTTTAAACACTGTGTAAATTTGGAAGGAAGAGTGGCATCCACTTTCTAAACAACATGCCTCTGGAAACTCTATGAACTTGGATAAATGTCGATAGTTGTAGATGAGCTTCAGGCCTTTTGTTCATAGGGTTGCTAAGAGTTGTGCCCGACTCAAAGGCAGTTAACAACAACAAAGAAATGCATGTTATATTTAACTGAACACCCATCCTTCACCCTTTCCCTTTCCACTACCTAGCTTGCTACTCTAACAACGTGGAGAACTGGAGACAGGAAGGAAGACAGGCCTGGAAGCTTGCACTACCCCAGGGCCCAGAGTGTCTCCACTATGCAAAGGACTGGGGACATAAACTGAGTCTGCCTTTGGGACTGTCCCTCACAGTAGAGAAGGCTGGTCTTGGGGGAAGGTTACAGGAGAGAATTTGGATGGCTCAGAACCCAAAGAAGTACAGCAGAACTAGCTGGTTCATTCTGGGATGCCTAGGGGAGTAGTGATGACGCAAATGCAACTCTGGGCTTCAGACGGATTACCTGTTCTACTTTGATGTCATAATCTCCAAGGACTTTTTTACCCCGAAAACATTTGGCCCTGGAGAAAGGAGAAAAACAAAACAAAACAAACACATGAATAAGCTGTGTCCTGATGTATGGTGTCAGAAAGGTGCTGCTACAAATGACGGGCCTAAAGCAGACAGAACCCCAAAATGAGATAAAGAGACCAAGATTCTCTCACTCCATCACCATGAGACTTTATGCAAACCACTTCTCTTTTAGCCTAGATGGATCTCAAGTGGCACAGTGGTTAAGCACACAGCTGCTAATCAAAACGTTGTGGGCTCAAAACCACTAGCAGATCCACAGGAGAAGAGCTCTCACAATCTGCTCCTTTAAAGAGAGTAGCCTTGTAAACCCTCCGGGTCAGGTCTCCTCTGTCCTAGAGAAACCTTCTGAGCAGGAAGTGACTGGAGGGCAGTGAGTCTGGCTGGTTTTAAGGTAATCCAAAGGGCCCATTCCTGTTCAGGTTTTGTGGTTTTCTGCTGGATAAGAAAATAATCCAGAAGTAACTATTATTGTTAATGCATTAGAGCTCCTTTTATGTGACCATGTGGATGTTTGTATTAATTTCTACCTTGCCCTTAGCCCACAGTACACTGTAAGAGTGTATCTGCTAATTTAAATGGCTTATCATTTCTATCAAGGGCTGCATTCTACTTGTTAAAAGCTGTGTTAGGTTTGCTTTCCATGGGCTTGAAATTTCAAACTGACACATTTTACTAGAAATTTTCCTGTAGGCTCCCTGAAAAGAATACAATTTGATGAGGGGAGGGGAGAAAATTGAAAGAATTTGCTCTAATTTGTATTAGAATTTTGTAAATAAACTAGTAGAAAAAAATTAAATTAAAAAAAAGAATAATTATCTCATTGCCATCAAGTCAGAACCAAATCACAATGGAGCCTCTATTAGACTTGAGAGGCTGTAAACAGTAGAGAAGGAGCCTCCTCATCTTTCTCCCAAGGAATGACTGGTGGATTTAAACCCCAGAGAGACATGGTTGATGGGTAAGGTAACCCCTATGGACTAGGCCACCAGAACTGTCTACAAGTATAACAATAAGCCCAGAGGAATAAACCAATATTTATTTTAAAAAGCATCTCATTTAAACATTCTAACAACTTTAATGTGGTCTAGTGGTAAGGAATTGCATTACCAAACCAAAGGCATGCAGTTCAAATCCACCAGATTCTTCATGGGAGAAAGATGGACAACGTCCTTTTGTGCAATTGACAACTGATAGTCCCTGAAAACCAGTGCGGGGTTTAGTTCCAACTCAGTGGTACACAACAACTTTAGTAGTAGGGGAAAAAAGTCATTATAGAGATGAGAAAACCAAGATTCAAGTGAAAATGGCACAATCAAGGTCATACAAGTTAGTAACAAAACCAGTTTTCAAACCCAGATGTTTTAGAATTCTGAATCAGTCCAGTATCTTTGACATCCCACAGCACAGTCTACTTTCCCGATCAGTCTCTCCATCCTCATTTCCACTGAGAAAACAGACTTGCTGTGGGTGCTGGGTTTCATCCTCTCCAGCCCCCCCCCCATTTCCCCTTTTCCGTTTAAAAGGCACTTTAATGATGTTGTGAACACTAGTCCTACTAGAAATACTTCCTACTCTGATTCCTGTCAACTACCCAGGATGAGGCCAGGCTATTTTCTTTCCTCTTTCAATTCTGGAACAGTGTGTTCCAGGAAGCTGTCATTTGTCCTACCCAAGTCCCTAGCCATCCCCAAATTATATCTCAGAGGTACTCAGCCCTCCAGGAGTTGGAGCACTGAAGTCCATCCCCACCTCTGCTCCAATTCCTTTCTAAGTCACCAGCTTGCTTCTGGGACCCTGATCACCATTTACAGTTCATGTAAGTCCCTTGGGCAGGGGCTTGTAGCATTTCTGATCCCTTTGGCTATTATTGTCTGTGTATGCTTTAAATAGAGATGTTTACTCTTGGTATTACCACCACTCTGCAGATCTTATTCTCTGTAAATCCTTGTTCACAACTATAGAAAGGACAAGCTAAAACAAATGCCTCAGCTTCACTGCCATCGATTCGGAACTAACTTAAGTCTATTTTGGAGGAAATGTAGCCAGACTGCTCCTTAGATGCAAAGATCTTAACACTAGCTTTTCATTCTATAAGCTTTTTTATTGGTTTTCATATAAGAATTCCTTTACATTGTTTCATTCATACACATTGCGTTTCATACAATCTTTCATTTACATTGTGTTTCAGACAATCATTCATATACATACTATTTTACATATTTTGTTTGTTTACAAAGTTCATATACATTGTGCTTCACACTGGTCTTCATTCACATTGCGTTTCATACTATTAGTCTAATACATATTAATTATAAAACATGATGCTCTGCATTTCCAAAGCATATTCCCTAACTTGTTTTTCATCACCTGTGAAGTAGTGGGACAGACTGTGCTTTCCATTTTACCCACACAAGAGATTGAGACCCAGATTAATAAAAGGGATGCCCAGATCGCAGATAAATGCATAGGCTTTAACCCAAGAACTCAGAGCTTACTTACAACTAGGTGCTAGCATACTGTCATCTTGTCTAATTCACTCATTTTGTGGAATCTGAATACTGATGATCCTGAATATTTATAGATCCTGGCTGAGTTTATCTGGCACTTCCTGCACCTGCCCAGTGACCAAGTTGGCTAATGAAGCTGTTTTCATACGTTCCCCCTTCTCCCACCTCTCCAATCATCCTAATGACTTTCCCTTAAGGTAATTTGTCCTGTTGGAAATCTCTGTCTGTGTTTCCTGGCCCCGGGTCACTGACCTCTCTTGGCTAAACCTCAATCTTATAGAAAAGGAGCCCAGATGGCAGGCAGTTGGGGCACAGAGCCCTCTTCTGGAGAATAACATTTTCTCACAGCTCTTCATTCTCAGATATTTTAGTTCTTGATATTTTCATGAAAAATTTTGCTGTCTTCTATCAAAAGAAATACTTCCTAATAATAAGAACAAACTAGTAGGGCAGAACATACTAGACCAAATAGGGTAAACTTTTAAAAGTAGTATGTCACAAGGTTAAGCCATTCAAGCAATCTTCAGAAATATCTAAAGGAATAAAATTAAAAATAATTATTTTCATTCCCCCCATTTTTTTTTCATTACACATATTCCCCATTATCAGTTCCAAGTATATCCTTGCACTGGGGAAAGTATGTATAGCAACATGCTAGATAAACTTCCTTTTTGAAAGTGTGTGTGTGCGTATAGATACTTAAATATATACCTTAGTGATTTGCTTTCAACTGGTATTGCAAGGCTTTCTAACAGCTATACAAAATTCTCTGTCAAGAGTGCATCATAGATTAGCCAGTATTTTACTGATGAACTTTTAAACTTCCAATGATTTGCTTTTAGAATCTCACTGCAGAGTTGCTGGTACAGTGATAATATTGCCAAATACCCTGAAATGATGATACCCTTCTCGCTAGTGTCTGAAAATTTGGGAAAATGTCTTCATCTCCTTTAGTTCTCCCTCTCGCCTGCTGCTTGCAAAAGCTGGACACAGACAAGGCATTCTGCAGCGGCCTCCTCAAATCCACCCTAATTCACCACCTTGTGCTCAAGCCTAAACAGGACCCAAGATGTACATCATTGAAACATAGACTAAAAATATCTATGATGCCTGTGTTGTCAATTTCCCCCTATTGTAACATTTTCTTAACAAGCCCAGCAGCTGAGGATCTATGTGAATTTGATGGCTTGAAGCTTCCTTGATGGACCAGGTAATGAACCATCCTGCCTTATTGCCAAAATGACTAGAGGCTCCCAGATTTAACTCTTCCTAGCCAAGAGAGTAAACACCTTCACTGATTCTCATTCACCTGCCAATCAAGGTTTATGAGGCTGAGGGAAGGACATTTTTTATTTTAAATATTATGGCTTAGCCAATGTCTTTATAAATTTCTAAATCCCTTCCAGAGTAGCTTCCTGAGTAGGTTCACATTCATGGTGGGTGTGCTTTATTGACTGGAGATGTCAGGAATACTGACAAATGTAGGAAAGCAGAAGCTACCTTAAACCTTAGTGGACAAAGTTTGTCCTGCAGGTGAAGTCATCTTCTCTGTTATATAAAAAACCCATTCTCGATTTCCTTCATCTACACCAGAACTCCAAGATTTGCACAAGGATCTAAAACACCTCAGTCTAGGAGATGGAAACAACATTTCTGGCTCCAAAAGTACTTTATCAAAATTAAAAAAATAAAAATAAAAAACAAAAGCACAACGGTTGCCTGAAGTCAATTCTTAGGCATGCTGGATCCATGTGTGGTAAGTGTAAAACTATGTTCCACAGTGTTCTCAGAGGACTTTGGGGAGTTGATCACCTGGCTTTTCCTCCAAGGAGCCTCTGGGTGAATTAGAACCTCAACTTCTTAATCAGCAGCTGACCTGTTAACCTTCTGCACTGCTCGCCTTCTCAGAGCTCTGAGAATGGTTTCAGGCATTTACTGGGGAGGGAACATTGGTGGAGCCTGTGGTCCATTCAGAGCTGCACTGCTAACCCAAAGGATGGTCATCTAGCAGTTCAAATTCACCAGAAGCTCAATGGGAAAAAGATGAGCTCCATAGGAAACATCTCCTCCTGTGCAATTTACAACCTCGCAAACCGGGGCGGGGGCTCAGCCAACTCCAGGGCACAAGGAAGGCTGACTAGAGTAAAGCTTGGCCTCAGCATTTACTCCTGAGAAGGTGCTCAGTTCCTGGCTCTATCTCTAACTCAGGCCTTGTGCTTCTGGCCACAAATCTCAGGATTTAAGAATTTGTTTGTTATTGTTGTGTGCCATCGGTAGAGTAGACTTTTACTTATAGTGACCCTATGTATAACAGCTCTATCCAGAGCCAATTTTATTGTTTCTGACACACCCACCTCATTACCTTAATCACTGAGTCAATCCATCCATCTCATCCAGGGTTATCCTCTCTTATGCTATCCTTCCTCTCTTCCAAGCATGATGTCCTTCCCTAAGTACTGATCCCTCTTGGCAATAAGCCA